ATTTCGGTTATTTTGCCAGCAACAACCACTACTTCTTAACAGAATATTAACGGTTAACTGGTCAGATTAATATTTAATTATATATATATATATATATATATATATATATATATATATATATTTTTTTTTTTTTTTTTTTTTTTTTTTTTTTTTTAAATCACAAAATTTCTGGGAATTACCACCACAAAATCTGTCATTTTAATTGCAACACAAAAAAAATCACAAAAACAATTGTGAAAAACTAGTAGTCTGTAAAATAAAAGCCTCAGCTTAGTGCGGCATTATCATTATGCAAAAATCAAGAAAATAGTTGGATTTGTTTGATTCGTAGATTAGGCTATTTATGCTAAGATATTTTATAAGAACTATTAATGACTGTAATTTTCCAAATGCAAAAAAAAAATGTTGGTTTGTTTATACATTTAAGCAGCCAATTAAAAAAATAATAATAATAGTTTTAGCATTTAATTGATACCATTAATCGGTTAAAATGCACACTTTCGGTTAACAGTGAATCGGTTATTATGAGCATCCCTACTTTGGAACATTTCTCTGTCGACACAATATGCTCCTTAACAAAGCTAAATCAGGCCATTTGACTCTTTCTGCAGAAAGGTTTGAAGACATTTGCTGAAACACACCCTTACCCTGTTCAGAGCTGATGATCAATTCCAGTTGCAGAGTTGAACCGACTGCCCACTGAGAAAATCTGCATAATCCAGCCTTCTCATGCATTTGTCTTTCGAGGAAAAATACTGCCACCTAAATAGGTTTTGTCACAGGGTCACCACAAAGGGAGGATAAGTTAGGATGATACTATCAGGTGGCCCAACAACACCCAACCCTCTCCTTATCTTTGTTATTCATCTACATGCCCCTGCCCCTCCATCCTTCACCTTCATGAACACCAATCCCACATCATCCACATCATTAATCCATGGTCACCATAGGCGTCCATTCATTTGCATGCGGATGTGGCAGACCGGAAACGTAAGCTTGTGAGACAAGTTTGGCATGTCGCTGCATTGCAAAGTTCAAACTAGGTGAACTCTGACCTGCGAAATTGCATCACGTAATTGTGTGAGACTAATAGAAGATCAAAACATGACCTCTCTGTACAGAAATGACTAATAAGAGTTTACAGTAAAGTAATACCTATTGTACTTCATCATTCCATTTTAATTTATAATTAGTTTAGAACATCCATTTACACATTAGGGCTTACAAAATTACATCATTTCAGCATCGATATCCTAATGTGCGAATCTGCAATAGTCACATTGCAGGATCTGCACTGTCAAAATACGATCATAATAGACTCTTATCACATTTCCTAGCTTCTCAGCAGGGGACATCATCATAGTTGGGTCAACTTAGAGTGCAGTGGATAGTAGAGTACAACAAATAATCTTTCTACGATCCTATCTGCTGAAATAATAATGATGCCACGATGGTGTTCTCAAGACTTTCAGAAAAAGGAAAAAAAATTGTGTGAGACTGATGATGGCAGCCAGAGGAGAGAATAACCTTAAATTTACTCTCAGCCCTACAGATGCTGCATTAAAAACACCTAGCATAAATGGTAATTTGTTTTTTCAAATTTAACGCAAACATGATGTAATACATACATAAATACATAACAAATATATTAAAAACCTTTAAGGATTTAAGATTTTGATGACCGTTAAACCGTTGTGAAATACATCCATTAAACAGAAAACATACAAAGTATAACTTTAATATTATGAAACTTTTATTTGAATGTGTTTTCAAGGCATTTGACTGTATGATTTCAAATAAATTAAAACCATTTGTGCACAAGTAATTATAAAGTTTGCTGCTTTAATTAATCAATAAAGATGAATTGTTTTTAATTATTTAATCAATTAAAGGAAATTTGCACTGTTATTTAACATTTTACATATTGAATTTCTATACTTCAACACTGTTCGACTCAACCGAAAACCATAAAGTGTTGTTTATTGTTTAATTTTTATCTTTGTTCTGCTGTTTTCACCAATGCTTTAATTTATTTTATATAGATTATGTATTTACTGTATAATTTTGTATATTTCATACAGATGCACTCTGCTACCAATCATTCCAATCAATATAAAATTAGAAATTATTTACAAATAAAGTCATCTTAGAAAACTATATTCATATTGCATTATATCGCACAAAAATGAAGTATCACAATGTCAGTTTTTTCCAATATTATGCAGCCCTAAAACTTGTACAATAAAGCAATAAATTAAGTGTTTGTAATATAAATGTAGTGTAAATGTAAGTATATTTATTTTAAAAAGATTTCATAAAAAAAATATTTTGATTGAAACCAACTGGCCGTATTCCCTGCTTGTAAAACAGCACAAGGACATAACAAGGTGAAAACCATCTCCACACCAAACCGCACATCCACCAGTCAAATCAATTCTGAGCCACGGTAAGAGGACAGCTGGGAAAAGAACCTGTCAGAGGACACAATCTATGATGAATGAGGAATATTGCAACTGGATCTGCTGAAAACCTCAAAAAGCCCATAGAAAAAGACAATGAAAGAGGGAAAATAGAAGTGGGGAGAGGCAAACAGCATAAGAAAGATGCCCCTGAGAAAGATTACACTGCCTCAGACTCACACTGCTGCTGCCGCCTCCCTGCCAGCACACACACACACACACAACACACACTGCAGCGTGGCGAATGGGTAAACTCCCTCACATCGCCTATCTTCAAGGCAAGAGGGTGCATGGATAACATTTCCCTAAATAAATTCACTGTGACTGAAGGCATCCTATTAAACTAGGCTGCAAACTGAGAGTGAAGCAAGAAAATGTCATTAAAACACCCACTGAGACCTAACGGTCCATCATTAGATCAAAGTCCATTAACAGATTGTATCTAAGGAATATCTACATGGTGAACGCCAGAGAACAGGCAGTGATTTGACTGAGATTATTTTCTGTCTCCATGTCTTGGCGCAGTTTGTGCTGTGATTTCAGTCAACCATGTTTTCGACAACAGACAAAATTCTACAGGATGCTATGAAAGCACTGGATGTTCTGCTCTGACCTGCAGATACAGACACTAAAAATATGTCCAAAGTAGACTGCACACATCACAAGCACTCACCAAAAAAAAGAAAACACATAGATCAAATCAAATTAGAAACGATCACAAACAATCAAATTGTACCACCAAGTGAAGGAAGTGTGACATTTAATCCTTTGTGGAACTTCACCTGTCCAATGTTTGTTGCTAGAAGGGATCGATCGGCCGAAAGTTTACAAAAATTATTTATATCATTTATTAAACTGCTAGTAGAAATGCTTCGTCAGTCGATCGGTCAGAGATCGGTATTGGTCGATAATCACATTTCATAACTCATGATTGGTACTTGCTAATCTGAGGTGCGTTTCCCAAACAATGACGCAACTTGCGGCTGAACTATTATAGTACGATGCATCGTTTTAGAAAGAACGATGTAGTAACGAGGGTTTCCAAAAACTCGTAGTTTCTCTATCGCAGATCCATCCTTTATCCCATGTTAGTTCCAACATAAAACGTCCATAATGATGCTCTAAACGGGGTGGTAACAACTTCTTTAGAAAAGAACCCCATAATGTATTTGTGCAAATTATTTTGTTTTACACGCACACGCATTTAAAGAAAATCTAATATTAGTTTTGGTAAAAACATGCACTCGTTGTCCTTATTAACTTAAATATATGTAAATGGCACATATAAAACCTGTGTTTGCTTTACAAATATTATTAAGAACATTGCATATTCTATATCATATTCCATAACATAAAATCACTTACAAAAGCTAATATGTATTCTAGTATCATATATAAATCATATAAATAAATAAATAAATAAAATAAATAAATAATGACACTATTAAGACATTTATATTTATTATTTATTAGGAAATGAAAAAACTCCTACTTTAATAAAAATATTAATAATAATAATAATGATGATGATGATGATTATGATGATGATGATGATGATAGACATCTAAACGTAGACAGCTTGGCTAAAACAAGACTAAACTTGGGATGTCAGACAAAATCTAATTGTCATCTAAGAACAGCCCAAAACTAGACTAGTCGTCAAGACAGACTTTAAATGTGTAGTAATTCATTTCTGTTTATTTGACGACTAACGTAGTTTTGGCCTATTCTTAGGCGTCTATTAAATTTTTACTGACAACCCAAATGTAACCTTGTTTTAGACAAGACGACTATGTTTACCGTTTAGAGGTCTATTAGACATCAATTAAAAACAAACAAAAAACGCTTGCTGGGAAGTGTCATAAAATGATGTCGTAATTAATTTAATGAAACTTTACCTGAGGTGTGTAACTAGTATGCTAACTAGTATGCTAATAAATAATGCAAAATAAGCTGCAGCTAACGTTACATTCAGGAATGTAAATCTCTGCTCGTTGGGAGCCCAATTTGATTTGATATATTGATATTAAGATAATCTTGAATCCTATCAAATTAATAAAGATTTAGAAAGAGTCAGTTGTAGGATTAAGTTATACGTACATAATTCAATCCACGTAACTTATTTAACGGATGGCTGCCTTCCCTTATATTCTACATCCCTATCACAAAATTCCATATTAATTCTCTAAACTTTTACCAGATACTATCATGTCTTTATTTACCATGTCCATACGGTTCTCATCCCAGCTTCAGTCAGTGTCTCACTTGTTACCGCCATTGAAGGAATAATGATTCATTAATGTCAAGTTGCGATCCCACTTACTCAAAGTAACCCGAATTGTGCCACACTAAGTGCCCTCAAATTGCAAGTATGTTAGCTAAGAAAGCCAGCCCCGTCAAAAGCAGTCCACAGCCGCCTTCATCTCCCTGACAGGAATAAAAGAGCTAATGAAAGCAGAGCTCTATCGGCGCGGTTTGGCCTCTTTTCTTTTGTGACAAGCACACATCTAGCTCAAAGAGAAAAGCAAAACAATCACAAACCTTGCATCACCCGCTTTGAAGGCTAAAGTCCCTGATGTGCCCCGGGAATCGGGTAGAACATGCAATGAAATTGTGTCCAATCAGGGCCGTGTGACCGATCCTGTAGCCAATAAGGGCGAGCTGCGCTTGGACGGGAGCCAATCATATTAAGGTTCGTTGCTCCAGCGGACTCAGAGGGGTGGGGGAGGGTTTACTCGCGTGCTCGTGCAGGAAAAAGAAATGTGAGCGCGATGTGGGGTGAAAGTGAGGGTGGAGGGTGAAGGGGGATGGTTAACAAACTAAATTGTTCAAGTAATGCATTTGTTTCCATTAAAAATCGCCTCAAGTAACTAAGTACTAAGTAAATAATCAGTTTAAGCAGCTATATTTCCAAATGCTGCTATATATAAATCAAGTTCAACACACACACACACACACACACACACACACACACACACACACACACACACACACACACACACACACACACACATACCGAAATTCAACAGTTCATGAATGAAAAAATGTTAAACAAGATTGTAGAGAATCTGCATTTTGACTTATCGATAGATATGTGAAAAAGCATCATAAAAATCTTCAAACTCAAAGTCCTGATTTATGTCAAATGTCTTCATCTGCAACTCAAGGTCAGTAGCCCATAGACTTTAAGGTAAAGCTCCATACTGTGAGTTTTATTGTCTTTAATGATCAGAAGTAATCAAATTTTTTTATGAGTGAGGGGGAAACATTAAATCTCTTTCCTGTTTGTACATGATCAGGTTTCAGATTTATGTCAAAGATTCAAGGAAATTTTAAATTTAAAAGATTTACACAGTGATTTGTTTTGTGGCCTTGTTTTGGCATTCACCTCATATCAGAAATAGAAACTATTTAGACCTATACATTTTTTTTCATGAGTTTCTGCTGAATTACTTAATTTTATAAAAAAAAACTTGATACAATTCAAATAAATAGCCCAGGTATGTAAAGCCCCAAATATGTATAGAAATCTTCTTTCTCCAGACTGTCCACCTCTGGAATTCATTTTAATTGAAATAAAAACTATTTATCACATAGTGTGATAAAGAGTCCATTGATTAACTGTCAACATCTACTCACATTTTACTTTACATGAATGCCTTCTTTAAAATAAGGATTTTAAGTCTTTGTTAAAGTGTTATAAAAATATCAAATCTAAAAAAATCACACCTGATTGAATCAAGAAAACATAACGTCATTAACAATAATTGACACATATGTAAACATTTACAGATTTTTAAGGTGAGAAGAACTGGAATGTGTAGTTTGCATTCCTTCATGGGTGTGGGCAAAACAAAAAAATCTCTATGCATGTTTTTTCCATAGTTCTCTGGTTGAATTTTCTGTACAGCATCATGGGTATTTTTATTTTTTTGCACAAAAACACACAAAAGACATCGTAAATAAAGTTTATGAAAAATTTCCATTAATTTTATTCAAAAGGAAATAGATTTTGATAACAATTGATATACCTTTAAAGACAAGCCTGTTGTGAGATCTAAAGTTGATCCTTAATTGTGTATGCATTTGTTGAACTCATAATTAAACTTATTTTCAAAGCAATTTTGTTCAATAGCGGAAAGTGAGCATAAAAATCAATAGATGTTAAATTAATTGTTTGTATGGATACATCAGTTGTGGGTTTATATTTTTCTGTTGGTTTTAGTTTGTTTGTGTCACTTTATTTTAATCTGTTTGCAATGCATTGTGATATGGTAGTTCTTTCCCAGCTGTTTCTTTTATATATTCTGGTTTGGTTCATTGCTTCTAACACTTTAACAATTATTCAATAAATCCTATAGAAGAAAATTAATCATCACTTCATAATGAATAAAAAAATATATATTTTCCATATAGTTTGAATAAGAGGAATGGAATGTGCATGTGTGCTTGAGTTGTGTTGCTTCACTTCCATTCATAAATTCTCTCCTGTGGCCTCATGGGATAGTAAAGTGTCCACTGAATGTGCACTTAAGAATCTCAGCTCAAGTAGATTATAGAAATACATTATGAATTTGAACATTCTGCATTTACTGGTTCTCATAGCATAGGGAAGTATGCAATTTCAGCCACATAAAAGCATTAATGCATTACAAAATGCATACAGGAAGTGACACAGAAGTTCAGAGGACGACCACTTCTTCTGTACTTTGAAGTAAGCTTATAGTTTAAAACAAACAATATTGTAGTTAAAAGAAGTATGTTGCACTTGTCACTTTTTTGTTTCAGAAATCAGGTTTCCACTATTGTGGTAATTATTTTTTAAACATGCATTTGGTTAACTGAATTATACTCAGAAATGGTGTAAATGGTGAGAGAATCATCATTTTGTTTTAGATCTCTGGATAACAGAAAAATTAAAATTCTGTCATTATTTACTCAGCCTACACATGTTCCAAAACTGTCAAGTTCATTTCTTCTGTTTAAAAGGTGAAGAATTAAATAATGTTGGAAACAGTTAGCCATTGACTTCCATAGTAGCTTATTGTTTTTAAATTTGTTCTGATATGTACATCAACAGCTACCGGTTTCCATCTTCTTTTGTATTCAATAGGAAACAACTCTTAAAAAGGTTTGGAAACAGTTGAGGGTCACAAAGAGTTAATTTAGTTCACCCCAAAAAGAAAATATAATCTCTATTCAGATATTTTAAGTGAAATACAAGTGCTCCTTTACTCTCCATAGACAGCATTGTTTCTGACTTGTTAAAAAATTTTTAAAATACTCAAAACAGACCATTTACCTTCAGTGATTTGATCAGAATATCATCAAGCTACTACAATGCACACCTGAATCAAAAACAACAACTCTTCTCCTCAAAATCATTATGGATGTGCATTTACGGGTCCTGTTCATTGACAAAAACACTGGCATTCCGCTGGCATTTCCAGTTGTTTAAAATCAGTATTTGTGCGCATATACGTATTATCAGCTTGTCAATTTACCTATTGAATTACTGAAGTCATGTGATCTATTTTTTGAGGGTGCTTTATTTGGGTATTTTTCTGGAATTTAAATGAGTCTGGAAACTTGGAGCTCTCATCCCCTAAATTATCTTAAACTCCATAAGAAATCAAAACTAACTATGATTTGATTAGCTCACATTGCCAGTTTTGTGGTGAACAATTAATCTGTGCATGTCATTAAAAAAATGTTTGCCCTTCTAATCTTTAATTAAAATCAGAAAACTTCCTGTTAGTTTTCAGTTAAATTCTCAGATTACGTGAGTTTGAGGTAAAGGGCGTGGCCAACCTTAAAACTGCTGCAACTGCTGGTTTTGACAGCAAACAGAAAGGGTGAGCAGGAGGTGTATGTTAGGTTGTAATAACTCTTCTAAAACCCCTTTCCCAATCTTTCTGAATGAAACGCCTATTTTACTACATTCATTCAGCCTCCGGTAGAACAAACCCACGGTTTGCTCTTTTAAAATTCCATATAATAATTTATCGAGAAACACACACCATCTGCTCTCTCTCTAACAGAATTTTGCATGCTCAAACTCTAGTGTGATCGCAGTTTCAGATGCGAAAAACATTTGGTATACAGTTAAAGGTGACACGAATACACATAAATTAGGGAAATTTAATCACCAAAAAAAGTGAGTATATCGAGGGTATACGCAATTATTGATCCTTTAAAGTCGTAATACCCAAACAGTGGTAAAAAAGTAAGCATATGGAGTATACATGCGTATAGCCCTGACTACACCATTGGTTCCAACCCAACTCCAACATACTTAAGTTGCGATCACACTGCACTTTTCTCCCTATAGACATCCATTCATACGCACAAGAATGCGTCACATTGAAAACGCAGTTTGCTGCGTTGAAAAGATCAAACTTGGAGTACAAAATCGCATCACATAATTGCGTGAGATCGAAAATCCAAAAATGACCTCTTCGGACAGGAATTTAAAACATGGACCTATCACTTGTTTTTTTTTTAATGTATAATCATCTTGTTTAATCCCGCCCCTCTTGCAGCGACATATAACAGGATTTCACATGCTCAAACTCTAGTGTGACTGTTACCTGTAGATTTCAAACAAGCCTGAAGGACTCAGTTAGTTTGATCAGGTGTGTTTAATAGACCCTTTTCACATTTCTGGCTTTCTCAGTAGTGGAAGGCACCATGGTTGGGTAAACTTAGAGCGCAGTGAATGGGAGAGTACAACAAAAACATTTTTTACAATTCTATTTGCTGAAATATAAAAAACTGCATGGTGGTGTTATCACGACTTTCAGAAAAAAGGGGAAAAAATTGTGTGAGACTGATGATGGCAGCCAGAAGAGACAATAACATCAAATTTACTCTAAGCCCCATAGACGCTACAAACACCTCGCTTTAGCGGTAATTGGTTTTAATGTAGTTTGACGCAAAGTTGATGTAATACATTAATAAATGCATATAAATGTTTACGTGTTTTTTAAAAATCTAAATATTAATAACTTTCAGGGATTTAAGTTTATGATGACTGTTAAACGCGTTAAACAATGACCCTTATGTTAAATGTCTTTTGAAAGGAGTCCATTAGGGTTGGAACTAGTTCAGTAAAGTTAGCAACGAATCTGCAAATCTGTTGCTACCTTTGCTGAACTGTTGGAACTTAACGTTAACTGTGCAGAGCTGAGGCGATCCACGAACTGATTTTGACAGCTGTGCCTTAAATAATGGGTACATTTTTATTTTTGGCTGAATTATCTTTTTGATCCTCAAAACACAAGTATTCACCGCCACACTAGGAGGCGGTAACAAACAGTTCTAACCTCGCTGCCGCGGCGAAGACCAAATCCGGGAAGAAGACGAACAAACGCTCCACAGTTTCCCCAAAGCAAGATGGCGGTGCAAGAGACAGCAGCTCAACTCTCTATGGCCCTAAAGGTGCAAGAATACCCAACTTTAAAGGTCTGTCAAGCGTTTCCTCTCCATAATCTAATCACGCAACTAAACAGATTCCGTGTGCGTTGTTTGACCTCAATAACAGGGCATCAAACTGAGATTATCCATCAAATTAAAACTGTGTCTGCATTTAGAC